TAAAATAAATCAATCCATACAACTACAATAATAAATCAATCCGTATTTTAAAATAAATCAATCCATACAAATAAATGATTTAAAATAAATCAATCTATACTAACAAATTATTTAAAATAAATCAATCCATACTAATAAATTATTTAAAATAAATCAATACATACAACTAAAATAATAAATCAATCTTTATTTTAAAATAAATCAATCCATACTAATAAATTATTTAAAATAAATCAATCCATATTTTAAAATAAATCAATCCATACTAATAAATTATTTAAAATAAATCAATCCATACAACTACAATAATAAATGAATCCATATTTTAAAATAAATCAATCCATACTAATAAATTATTTAAAATAAATCAATCCATACTAATAAATTATTTAAAATAAATCAATCCATATTTTAAAATAAATCAATCCATATAACTACAATAATAAATCAATCCATATTTTAAAATAAATCAATCCATACTAATAAATTATTTAAAATAAATCAATCCATATTTTAAAATAAATAAATCCATACTAATAAATTATTTAAAATAAATCAATCCATATTTTAAAATAAATCAATTCATACTAATAAATTATTTAAAATAAATTATTTTAAAATAAATCAATCCATATTTTATAATAAATTATTTTAAAATAAATTATTTTGTAATAAATTATTTTAAAATAAATTATTTTAAAATAAATAACCTTATTAAATTATTTAAAATTATTTTAATAAATAATTATATTTTATAATTATTCTTGAAGAGGTTTGAAGACTTTTGAAGACATAAAACCAAGTCTGCACCAAGAAGAGCTCGCGCAGACGTTTAAAGAGTTTCTGTCTTCTAAAAAACAAACAGTCTGCGAAGCCTAATGTCTGCGCGTGGTCTGCGCGACGCAGACATAAGTGGTTTGAAGAGTTTGTACAGTAAAAACAAACACCACCTTAGTAGTTATAATAAATACTCCCTCCCTAACCTTAAACCTATCACTTGTTAACTTTTTTAATCAATATTTTTAATTTTGATTCATTATTATCTGATATTAAATACTGATAAAAATATGAAAAATATATTTTAAAAATCTTAAATCAAGTAGTTTTTAAATATATATTCTATAAAATTTAATTGTTTAAAATATTTAAAATAATCATGATTAAAGTTGAAAAAAATTGTCTTTTAGAAAGTCAATAATAGATTCATTTAATGGGACAAAGGGAATAATTTATTTGATCCATAAAATTAAATTAAAGTGTCAATTTAAACCTAAAAGTTAATTAAATATTTAATTGGAGTAAGAAAATATTTAAATATAAGTTGTTTAAACTCGGGTTCTTTAGAAAGAATAACATTTTCTTACTACTAAGTCCATTCAATAAATTATATTAAATTAAATATTTTTTTATTAGTCATATATGATTAGAAATCAGTATCTATTTAAAATATTCTTAACCTTTTTACAATAAACATTTAAATATTCTTACAAATATCGGGCTCGAAAAAACCTTGAAGGATAACTACCTCTTTAACTATTACGATCGATTGATTCCTGCATTAAATGGTTAAACAAAAGTCGAGTACCAAAATGTATCACTGTCTACCTCCGTTTTGGCTCATATCACTGTCGTCTCGCCTCTTCACCTTCCATGGCTGAACAAATCTTCAAGGATCAGGATGTTAACTTTGCCGGTCGCCCCATATCCCCTTTAGACGACTGCGTCATCTTTGGAAACGACAGCTTCATCGCTGCTCCTTACGGCCATTTCTGGAGGTTCATGAAGAAACTTAGCATGAGCGAATTGCTTGGAACTCGGCAGATTCAAAGATCTCGCACCGTTCGAAATCAAGAAATCGTGAGGTTTTTACGTCGGATGATTCAAAGTGCTTCGAAAAATGAGGTCGTTGATATGGGACCAGAGCTCATGAAAGTTACGAATAATATTATCTGCATGTAGTGTGTTATTCATCCGATTTTATCTGATTTAATACTAAAATAATATTATGTTATTATATGTTAGAAGATGATTTTCAAAAATCGTCAGATCTGTTAGCCAAAACTTACGAATAAACCTTTTCGTTTCGAGGAATCCTCATGACTCTTCGAACGTAAGAAAAAATGAGCCTCCAAGCCCTCCACAATGTCATCCATTGGACATGGAGAAGAATTTCGATAAGTACACATAATATATCATAACAAAATTTAAGATGTCACTACTAAATCTATTTAATTTGCTAGTCTACAAATAGTTATAATTATTTTATGTCTGACATTACAAGTTATGATCACTATAAATACCCTTCAATCAAGACTGATAAGGAGAATGAACTTCCAACAATCTTTCTATAGACTTATTTCTCCGTCTTATGATCAACTTTATCTTACTGAGAAAAATCGATCAACGACCATATTCTAATTAATTATAATTCTCTGTTCAAATTAGGAATGATGAACTATCAATGACCGACGATATAAACTTATTCTCATTAATATATATATTAAAAAAATAATCAAACAACTAAAAAAACGTAAACAAACATCATTTTCAATATAAAAGAAAAATAAAAATAATATCAATTCTGAAGAAAAAAAAACATATATGCAACAATGACGATAACTTAACCGATTTTACCATAATTTATTGTGACGTATCCTATATGGTTATTTATGTTTATGAATATGAGAGAATTAGTTTGAATTTACGACGTGCAGGGTGGTGGCGAGTATAAGCAGTTGGGAAGACGATAACGAGGCAAAGAAAATCCAAGAGCTTGTGAAGATGTCAGTTGAGATGGCCGGAAGATGATTCTTGCTAACACATTTGGACCATTGAAGAAGCTTGGGTTCTGGTTATATTCAAACAAGTGTGAGGAGGTGGCTGCAAGGTACGATAGTCTGATGGAAAAGATATTGAGGGAGCATGAAGATAAAGCCCACGAACTCAATGGAAATGATGATTTGGTGGATGTTCTTTTGAGGGTTTATCATGATCACACGGCTGAGTTAAGGATCACTAGAGAACAAATGAAATCCTTCCTTGCGGTAAGATAAAATAATTTAAATAATGCCAATAATACTTGAATGACATAAAACTTTGGTTCCAGGAACTGTTATTCGCAGGAGCAAATATGTCAGCCGAAACCACGGAATGAGCAATAGCAGAGCTGATCAATCATCCTAGGGTAAACAAGATTGCCGGAGATGAAATCGACTCTGTTATCGGAACGAAAACCAGACTAGTTGAAGAGACAGATATCCCAAACCTTCCTTATATTCAGGCCATTGTAAAGGAAACCCTGAGGTTATATCCCAACGCTCCCTTCGCACCTCGGCTGTGCCTTAAACACAGCAAAATCGACAGCTTCGATATCCTTAACAACACACCTGTGGCCGTTAATCTTTATTCCATCATGAGGGATCAGACGATATGGGAAAACCCAGATGAGTATTGTCCTGAGAGATTCCTAATTGGCTCCCAAAGTAGTAGTGAAACACAACAATGTTTTGATTTTGTTCCGTTAGGAGGTGGAAGAAGAGCGTGCCCTGGTAAGAATCTGGCTTTCGTGTTGATGAACATCGTGATTGCATCTGTTGTTCAGTGTTTGGATTTGAAGTTCATTGGTGAAGAAGATGGAGTTGATATGCGAGAAACCATTGGCATTTCTATAGTAATGGCTTCTCCGCTCCGATGCCGTCCGGTGGTTCATTTTGATCCATTTCATAGTTAACTATTATTGTCAGAGCTGGATGGAGGAGACAGACGCTATTAAACCTTTTAAATTATAATATATTTTAAATTTATATTTTATATGAATAATTTATTTTTACTGCTAAAGTTTTATAAGTGTGTACTTCCTCGTATATTATGTGTATAAGACTTATACATGTTAGCGAATTCTGCCATTGAATAAAAAAGTTAAAGATTTTTATATAGATTAATTATTTAAATCTAATATCTTAAATTTAATTTAAAATTCAAAATAAAATAAATTAAACTAAATTCATCCAAATTTTAATTAGACTGATGTGGATTCATACCTTTTTTCAAGTTGCATAAATCAATGGAAGCATGATTACAATATGTTTCATAGTCAAGAAAACCTCACCACTAATTATAATCACCATTGAAACATTGTATAATATTCCAAATTTGTTGATAAATGATTGGACTGACCGTACGTGTTTTTCTCTCGAGGATATCGACAAAGATTTTCACTAATTCTTAATTGATTTGAAGGTACTTTTTCTTTATAAAATTATAATTTATCAATTAAGGGCAAAATTGATGGGATAATAGTTTGAAAATAAAGAATGATTTGTACGAATTTTTGTGGAATGAATAATGTATAAAGACTATTTTTCCTAGATTGCACGTAGTATGAACATCAATCTTAATAAAATAATAATCTAGAAGAAGTGTTTTTCAGGTATCTTTTAAAGACGTCAATTGATCCAGTCGTCTTTCTTTTACATAGTTCATTTCATTTTAATCGAAAAAATAATCTTACTACATCTCATATGAACAATTATTTTTTCCGCACTACATTGGCTAAAGAATTTTGCTATCGATTAATATTCAATACACCATATTATTAATAATACTATTTATAAATTTAATCTGATTCGATCAGATTTTTAGATTTGTAAGTGAAAACGTATAGAATTATGAATATTAGAGGCAAATCCCAAGAGTAGTGGGACGTTGGAGAATGAATAAAGACAAGTGGTTGGGACAACTGTCTTACAACTATTGCACTTCCCTACCTTCCTAACTCCCAATAACGAATCGTGCCTGCCTCACCTCAACTCGACACAGTGTCAGCCAAGAAATAAAAATAGGCGGAAACAGCAAACAAGATCTCCCCTTGCTCAAATATCTTCCACCTCAAAGTTTATGTTTTTCACGTCCTTTCGATTGACGCATCCTTTCTTCCAAAGTTCACAACTTGTGAATTCCTTTCTTCTTTTTGTTACTTAAGTCAACATTTTTTCTCCTTCTTCAGTTGGAAAAAGAACCCTTTTTTTTAACTGAAAGTAAGGGAGATTGAGACTTTTCAGATGATTCTTTGTTGCTTTAGAGATGCACCCATTTCTATGCCTACGCTTGTTTTCACTTTAATTCTAACTGTGTGACAATTTCAAGGGTGGAGTCCAAAATGGAGAAGCTAGTGAGGTAATGTTCACAGCATGCTGTTTTCTTTGCATTTCACATTTTCATTTTCACTTGAAATTTCCAGTGATGTTGCCTTGCTGAGTTCTCAGGTTCAACAACAATGGCAGCACAGATATGGAGGAGCCACTGCCAGTTTACAAAGCAACACTCCCTTTGTTGAAAACTGAAGGAGGTCATAGTGATAGAAATAGTAGTGGTGGTACTAATAATAATAATTGTAGAATTCCCAAATTTGGGAAGTTCAAGGTTTTTCCAGAGGATTATAAGGCAAGGAGGGAGGGAATTCTGGATCCCGGTAGCGAAAACTACTTGAAATGGAACAGGATTTTTCTCTTCTGGTGCTTGGTAGCTCTATTCGTTGATCCATTGTTTTTCTACTTGCCTTCAGTCATCAACAATGACCATACATCTTGTATGGATGCTGATCAGAATCTAGGAATTGTGGTGACATGTTTTCGAACGCTCGCCGATGCCTTCTACGCGTTGCATATAATCATCAAGTTCCGAACCGCTTACGTGTCGCCTAACTCCAGAGTATTCGGGAGGGGTGAACTCGTTACCGACCCTCGTATGATTGCCAGCAGGTATTTGAAATCGGATTTCTTCATAGATCTACTGGCTGCCCTCCCTCTTCCTCAGGTACCCGATGAAGGACTTTGAAGTCATGGATTGATGTAAATGTAGCATTCAACAGCTGAAATTTGATAACTTCATGATGTTTATTACTTTTACGTTGGTTTGGCAGATTGTGATATGGTTCATTATACCAGCAACTAGGAGTTCCCATGCTGACTATACTAATAATACACTGGTGCTGATTGTTCTAGTGCAATACGTTCCCCGGTTTTATTTAATCTTCCCTTTAAGCTCTCAGATTATCAAAAGCACCGGAGTCGTCACCAAGACCGCCTGGGCCGGAGCTGCATATAATCTATTGCTTTACATGTTAGCCAGCCATGTATGTAATAGTTTCCAGCTAGCCCTGTATGCATGTAATCTTGCCTATCCTTTTAAAGGGTAGACAGAAAGATGATTTGTCTTCTCTTATTGTAGGTTTTAGGGGCACTGTGGTACTTGCTGTCCGTCGAACAACACGTAATATGCTTGAAATCTGAATGCAGAAAAGAGACTAGCCCTCTGCAATGCAATCTTCAATACTTAGATTGTGGCACGTTGCATGACGGTGGTCGCCAGAAATGGGAAAATGCTACCGTTGTGTTTACGAAGTGTCATCCCAGTAATGACATCAGCTTCGACTATGGGATTTTCGAAATTGCTTTGACTAAGCAAGTTCTCTCTTCAGACTTCCCTCAGAAGTATTTCTATTGTCTTTGGTGGGGATTGCAGAATTTGAGGTATATATGCCTTATGAACATTGTGAAATGACTTGGTTATTGAAAATTTATATGAGTAACTCTTGCTTTCTGAATTTCCAGCTCCTATGGACAGGCATTAGATGCAAGTACATTTGTGTGGGAAACCTTGTTTGCCATACTGATTTCCATCATGGGTCTAGTTCTATTTGCGCATTTAATCGGAAATATGCAGGTACCATCGATGCCTTTTATACAATCAGTACTGCTTTCGGCATTGGATCAATATGTTTAATGTCGGGATTCAATTATCATACATATTCTTCCGCCGATGTTTGTTTCTTACTTTCTTTAGTGTGTTAAGCTTGTGCTTTTCCGTTTATCATGGTGCTCGAATTTGTTTCAACCCACAACAGAAATAGTATAACTCTGTATGACCTCCTGCATAAGCCTTGATTATGTACTCATTTCCATCTAATATGTTGTCATGGACTCAGACATACCTACAATCAATCACTGTGAGACTTGAGGAATGGAGGCTCAAGCGACGAGACACTGAAGAATGGATGAGGCATCGCCAACTCCCTGAAGATCTGCGAGAACGTGTTCAGCGTTTCGTTCATTATAAATGGCTTGCAACTCGAGGTGTGGATGAAGAATCAATAGTACGGGCATTACCTCCTGATCTGCGTCGAGATATCCAACGCCATCTATGTTTGGACCTTGTCCGGCGTGTAAGTTCTGCTTGCTACTTTCATGTACTCAATGGCATGCAATAAAAATAGTTGAAAAGAGATTGGTTTGTATTATCACAATTTCAGGTCCCCATTTTCTCACAAATGGATGATCAGCTGCTGGATGCCATATGTGAGCGCTTAGTATCCTCCTTAAATACTCAAGGAACCTACATAGTTCGGGAAGGCGACCCTGTCACGGAGATGCTCTTTATTATCCGAGGAAAGCTAGAGAGTTGTACGACAAACGGAGGCCGGACCGGATTCTTCAATTCGATCACTCTTAGACCAGGTGATTTTTGTGGTGAGGAGCTACTTTCTTGGGCTCTCCTTCCTAAATCTTCCTCGAACTTGCCTTCGTCTACGAGAACGGTAAGAGCATTAGTCGAGGTAGAGGCCTTTGTATTGAGAGCAGAAGATCTCAAATTCGTCGCCAATCAGTTCCGACGTCTCCATAGCAAGAAGCTGCAACACACGTTTAGGTACCATTCTTATCAATGGAGGACATGGGGTGCATGCTTTATTCAAGCGGCTTGGCGTCGATATATGAAGAGAATGATGGCCAGAAACCTTAGCATGATGGAGTATGATGAAACACAAGAGGAAGAAAACGGTCTCGTCGCGTCTTCGACATCTAACCGCGCAAGACAGAATTTAGGTGTGAAGATACTAGCATCGAAGTTTGCGGCTAATACACGGCGAGGGGCTCAGAAGATGAAGGGTGTTGACATGCCTAAGTTGCAGAAGCCCCAGGAACCAGACTTCTCAGAAGAGCCAGGTTATGAGTAAAATTTACCAAGGAAACTCCATATTGCATATTATGAGTAAAAATCTCCGGGTGTGCAGCGGAAGTGGCCGCTCTAACTTGCAAGTTAAATGTTACAATATTATTATATTTTCATCAACAAATTCAAACATGGAAAGTCCATGCATTATTTATTGTTCAAATTTAAAACTTAAATTTACTCAAATTCAATTAAAATTTTGATTTTCATATCGTGATGATCTATATTAAAATATATTTGAATAATTAAATTTTAAAAAATCACCGAATCGAAATAATTTAAAAAAGTAATCCAATTTAAAATCAATAAGATGATAATTAAGGGTGAATAAAACTCGTATCAACTCGACAAAATCAATTTTTTCAACTCCACGCTAAAAAGTTTGACTCGTAATTTCATAAATTCAACTTGACTCGAAACTTTTTTAAATAAAAATTGAATTATAAAATATGACTCTATCAACTCAAAATTTTTAGTGATTAATGGATTCATTTTAGTCTTTCAATTTTGCATGACATATGTATATCAAATATAAAAAAAATATGAATAAATAAATATATATATATATATATCATAAATAATTATAAAAATTTATTTAAATTTGAATCAGCTAATATCAAAATATTATAAATATTCGTAATTAAAAATTTTAAATCTACTGGATCGAATATTTTCCTTAGGTACAGCTGTACAAGAAGAAAGTCAATTTGCGGTTGCTTTCTACATTACTGATAATAACGCCCAACCCCACCCCCAAAACCGAAAAAGTTCCTTTCTCCGGTGAAACAGACAATCCTGGCCTCTCCACCCTCCAATTTTCAACCCGTAATAAAATCCTCCTATTTAGCTAAGCCTCTTCCACGTATTAACTTTTTATTGGCTGTGTCTAGATCTCCCTTGCCCCACATTGCACCGTCATCGAGCAACTTGATCAAAGCATCAATCATAAGTCTTAACAGAAACCAGTACCAAGACCTTTCAGACACAAAGGCAAAGAGAGAATACATTATAATATAAAGTTACGAAAATATACGATTAAAAATATTAATATTTTTAATATTTTTTATAGAATGATATTTAAAATATTATTTTTATTAAAAATATTAATTTTTTCACATAAAATAAATATTTTTATATTAATATTTTGATAAAAAAAAATAATATTTTAAATAAAATCTGATATTAATATTTTTGATAAAAAAATAATATTTTAAGTAACTCTATATTAAAAATATTAAAAATATATTAACATTTTTATTTTTTATTTTCCTAGTCTTATATTATACTTATATTAACATCCCCAAATTTTCATTTACTTGTCGGAATGGCGTCCAAGTTGTGCGACTCGTGCAAATCAGCAACTGCCACTCTCTTCTGCCGGCCTGACTCGGCCTTTCTCTGCTCCAACTGTGATTCCAAAATCCACACCGCCAACGAGTTAGCCTCGCGTATGCTCGGGTTTTGATCTGTGAAGTGTGCGAACAAGCTCCAGCTCACGTCACCTGCAAGGCCGACTCAGCCGCTCTCTGCTTCACTTGCGACCGAGACATCCACTCGGCTAACCCTCTCGCTCGCCGACACGAGCGCGTTCCGTTGGCTCCTTTCTATGGTTCAGTCAAGCCCAACACGGAGTTTAACTTCCTCGAAGACCGTTACTTCTCCGACGTCGATGGTGACGCTGACAACAGCAGCAGCAGGGAAGAAGAGGAGGCTGCCTTGTGGCTACTTCCCAATCCTAACAACCACAAGGGTCTCGAAAGCCCTGACCTGAACACGGGGCAGTACGTGTTTTCCAAGATGGATCCGTATCTGGACCTGGATTACGGGCATTTAGATCCGAAAAAGGAAAATGGGGACCATGACCAGGAGCAGAACAGCTCTGCAACCGACGGAATTGTCCCGGTCCAAAACAAAACAGTACAAGCTCCGATGGTTAACGACAACTGCTTCGACTTGGACGTCACTACACCCAAAGCTTTCCCTTACGGCTACAACTACAAGTCTACAACTACAACCCTCACTGCCTTAGCCAGAGTGTAAGCATTAATCCAAAGCAGCTACTAGTACTATGTCCTATAACTAAAGTTTCAAATTTTAAATATGTTATTGTGCTTTTTTTTTCAAGTATCATCATCATTGTTGGATGTCGGGGTTGTGCCAGATGGTAGTACGATGACGGACATATCAGTCCCTTGCGGGAAAGGGTCGACGGAATCAACCCATCAGAAGGCGGTGCAACTTTCACTGCTCACTAAAATAATATTTTTTGTTCAGTGTGCAATATGCAAGTAAGATATTAAGGGGTTGTTTGTTTACTGTTGAATGGAATATTTCAGCATTCAACTTGTTTGATTCTCACCTCTGAATGAAGATTGTGTTGAATGATTCAGTAAAACACTGTTAAATGATTCAGCATTAAGTACATTCTGAATTATTCAGAATCATTATCAAACAGAATGTCACATTCAGAGTTAATTCATATAGAGCCTTTGAATCATTCAGGCCATTGAATAATTTTAAACGATTAATCATTCTGATTTAATCAAACAACCCCTAAGACTGTAAGACGAAGATATTGTGACTTGTAAGCCAAATAACTGGAATCTGATCCATTGGTTCCGTAATGTGTAATTTTTATACTATTAACGATTACAGGTTAAATTTCTGTTTTATACCTTTAAATAAAAAAGTTTAAGATTTAGTCATTAAACATTAATTTGACATAATAATCTTCTAATTTTTGAATAATATCAGTTGTTAGTCTAAATAACTAATGTTGCTAACTATTTTGGCTAAAATGATTATTTGTGCTACTTAATAACATTATAAAAATGGATGACTAAATTATGCCAAATTAAAGTATAATGGTTAAATCATAAATTAAGCATAGTAAAAATGACCAATATACTAAATTGACCAAGTATTTATACATATATATTTATTTTCTTAAAAAAAATCTACTTTTTAATTTCATCATTCTATGTTACAAGAAAAATCAGTCGTTCTACTTTAATATATCGTATTTTTATTATCTTATTTGATGACTATTAAGAAATTAGTCATATTAGATGGTCTTTCAATAATTTTAATAGTTATTGATAACACACATCTTACAAATATAATTACTGGAATTCAGGATTTTAAAGGATAACAACATTCCATTTAACATAAATTATCATTCAATATAGTTTCCTTTAAATTTATTATAAACTGTTGTTTATTGTATTTAAAGTAGATGCCTATTTAACTCGTTAACTGGTTTCAGTAATAAAATAAAATGTTATTATTCTTAAAGATTTCAAGTCCGAACAATTACGTTTGCAAGGTGTGTATGGATTATCAATTAATTAAAAAAATTAAACGAATACTACCTTGTAATTCACTAGATTATTAACAAAATTAAATAGTGATTAATAATTATTACATAAAAAACATCTACGTAATAGTTAAGATTGTATTTAAATCTCTTACTTTCCCTCCATTAAAGTTAACATATATGAGACAATAATAAAGATCAATTTTAACTAATTTATTATAGTAAGTATACAATTTTATAATAAATTAATGATAATATATTTTAATAAAAACATTAAATAAAATTTAATGATATCATTTGATTTATTATTTTTATATAAAATTATACTATCAAAGTGTGTTAAATATATATTTCTATAACAAATATATTACATACCAACACTCACTTTCATAAGTAAATTATTGTAAATAGAATTAGAGGTAAAGAAATAAAAACCAAATAATCGAGTCGGGTCCGATCAATTGCAGAAACCCAACCGCCACATTGATCAATTGGTTCAGAGGCTTCTAATGTTCATAGCGACGTGTACAGAAATTCCAAAACCCTGGCTTCAGGGCTTATCAGAAAGATTCTCCCTCAAAATTTTCCGGTCTCTGCAATTGAAATGGCCAAGGAAGCACAATCTTTACGCCCATGGTTTCTGGATTTGGTGCCCTTAGTGGTGGTTCTCTTGATAGCTGCTCATGTCTTCGCTTTGGCAAGTCTCCCCTCTTCAGATTTAGCCCTTTTTATTATTATTTTATGCGGAGTTGATATTTGATTCATTGTTTTGCTTCTTATAGGTTTACTGGATCTTCAGATTAGCTACTGACAAGCAGCCCCAAAGAAGAAAGACACACTAAGGTACATCATGTTGGAAATTTGAGAAATGTTAGGCTCGTGCAAATCTTTATTTTTTATTTTTTAATTCTTGATCGGTTACTGGTTTCATTATATTTAATGAACTGCGGTTAGTGGCAAGTCTGCTGCAACGTTATAACCATTGATCCAACTATTCAATTTATTTGGATGAGAAATCCCTTTCTGCTTCCGAGGGGGAAGTCAGGTGTTGGACAGATTGATCATGGAATGTTTGACCCAATAATATAGAAAATCTAGAAATACTATCTGTATGCTTTTCGGTCTGACGAATTACGTATTGGACAAGTTTTCAATTTCTCGATTTGGAGGTTTGATCTGATTTCCCAGAGCTATGAGGGTTGCATTATGATAGACTATAGAGTAGTCTGTGGTTCCCAAGTCACTTTAATTTGATATTTGCGACCTTGTAGTGGACAAGTTTTCGATTTTTGATTTGAAGGTTTGATCTGATTTTCCAGAGCTAGGAGGGTTGATTTGTGGTGTATTAAGAGTAATCAGCGGGTTCCAAAGTCCCTTTAGTATTATATTTTTGATCTTGTATTGGACAAGTTTTCAATTTTCGATTCGGAGGTCGAGGTGTATTATTCAGTAGTATGTGGGTACAAAAGTCTTTACAACATGATATTGGTGATCTTGTATTGTCTCTAATGCCTTTGCCTGAAAATACCTAGGAGGTTTTAGGTTAATCACGAGTATGATGCCTGTCTTGATTCATCAAATAATGGTGTTTCTCCATAAATTTGTTGGCTAATATTTTATTATGGCCTAATTAAGTAGCATATAGAAATGGTAGCCAAAAATGTATGTAATCTCACGATGGTTATCATTCTTCTCCTAGATTACCATTGAGTATGAGCTTTAGTGTTCACTATGATTGTTGGGAAAACTTTATATCTGCCAAAGTTGATGTTAATAGTTTTACATTGATCTGATTTCAAGACAAAATGTGGCAACATAAACGAGTTAGAAAGAACTTTTTTTTCCTCTTTTCCTTATAAATGATTGATTTGCGAGGATGAGGGGACTTGCGTAATGGGTGAAGATTTTGTAGAAAATGTGAGAAACTGCTTGTAAAGAGGACTAAGCATACACATTGAAGCACCATTTAAAGAGGGATAAGAATATAAAAAGAGTGAACTTTTTATCATATAGACCTGTATTAATTTGTCAATAAGTTTCGGTATTGCCTTGTTTTATTCGTCTACGAGGTTGTTATTGTGGGAAAATCATAGTCTCTTCCGTTGTTTCCGTTGTTCTTCTCAAGGAAAACAAACTAAATGTTATCCTTTTTCTTTTACAGGAGGTTCCTAATGCTGGGTTGATTCTATGTACATGAAGTTATTGTGAATCCATCATTTGCCATGTAACTTCATGTTTCATTGAACCTTGGATTTGTTTCATATTCCATGTTTGCACATTGTTCTTCTAAATGTCTTGACTTATACCTTTATGCTTAGCCTCTTGTGTTGGTTGATGGGTTTCATGTTCCTCCTCCTATTAGCCAGCCAAGCCAAGGGACATTTGTTGGATATGCATCTTACCATTCATGTTTTGCACTATTAGATATGTAGGGTAAGCATTCGGTTGGTTCTATAAGCTTGAGATGAAATAACTGAATCAATTTTTTTTCGGTTTCGTTCGGTCGTTCTTTGGTTTTGATTTTTTTAAGGTCTATTTATTTATTTACAGAAAAAAGTTACATCTGAAATTGAATTTAATAATTAAACAATTGTTTTTGCTTAATTAAACAAAACAATTCATTGTAGTCTTGTATAATAATAATTTTGAATTGGGTTTAGGCCTAGTTTAGGTTTTAAATGGTTTGAGTTTGGGGACGGAACGTCACCAAAGGATAATAATTTCCAAGTTATTGCAGCAGTACCTTTCCCTTTCCCTTTCCCTTTCTTTTGTTTCATTAATGTAAGATAAATTTAAAATTTAAAAATAAATAAAATATTTATCATCATTTAATGTTATCTATGAAAAAAAGTTTTTCACTATAAATGGTAATTATAATATATATATATATATATATATATATTTTAATTCATTGTCACGCATAGATCATAATTGAAGTTATATTGGACTATGTTGCATTAATTTTGTACTTTCTAATTATTATTTTATAAAATAGGGACTAAAAACTTATAATTACCAATTATGTGATTGTACCTAATATTCATTTACAACATATGATGTATATTGATATTAATAATTAAAGTTCTACTTAAGTTTGTTATCATAGATAAATCAAACATTAATTTGGTTGAACAATTTTATATTATTTATATTTTAAATTAGAATTGATTTTATTTTAGTAATCTTTTTATCATTTCAAAATCTATACAATTTTCAAATAAGAAACTAAAAATAAACTTCTAAAGATTGAACTCGCATCTTTTAAAAAAAATGATACATATATTATTTTTATTGTATTTATTGTTAAATAAATTGTATACTTTTAAAAAATATTATTCTCAATTATATTATGAGTATGGCAAATTATAATAAATTTAATGAGAATCTTAACTCGTGTATCCTTTGATTAGTTAAAGAACCAAGGGAAGGATCTTGTGGCTCTACTCAATTTGGTAGAATTAGTTGTCATTAGCTAATTATGAAACTAATTGAAAAGCCATATGCCTTAATTTCACAACTTAATTGGGTTGCCAATCAATTATGAGGATCTACCAACTTTCTTAATGCTAGAGGAATTATGATATTCGTTATAGGATTATTTTAAAAATACTCTTCGGGGGTCATAATTGAAAATTATATTATGCCTAAATCCCTTATATAAAAAAATTTGATATAAACTTGTTAAATATATGTAGATTATAATAAAAATTAATTAATTTTATATACAATTTTGTGTTAAAGTTTTAATTTTACGTAAAATCACCATACTACTGACTGCCGGTATATTATTATCTCATCAGCAGCAGTAAAGTAAAATCATAGCATGTCTAAAGGACCCAGAACCTTCGGATATTTTAGCCATTCATTTCCCAAATGTCGATCTGAAATTGCCGTTGGAGGAGGCCACCGTGATTACCGTCCCCAAGTTCATGATCGCACCGACCATCTTGAAACCCCATCTTTTAATGGATATTTACTGTCCTTACCTTGTCTTCTGATTACGTTAATGATGTCGTAAGACATAGTTTTAAATGATTCGGACAAAGAGTCGGTGTGGTTATAAGTCGATGATCACACCATCTTAAAAATCCATCTTTTAACGAGTTGAAGTTTTAAGGTTTAGAGTTATACAATAGAAAAAAAAATTATTCAAATGTCTGATAATGTTTCAAATTAAACGTGAAAATAAAAATATAGAAAACATTGTTATTTCTGATAATGATTTCCTCGCGAACCAAAATTCTAATTGATTTCGAGAAGGAAAATGAATTTATTCGTTGATCATCATCTCTAGAAAACATTGCCTACTCAACATTCAACAAGCCTAACTTTACGGCTAAAACAGTAAATAAAACCCAAATAAAGGCAACCATCACCATTAACGACCAAGAAGCAAGCATAGGAAGCAATGATATACAACACAGAACAAGCCATAAGCATCTCAATTTTATTTAATTTCACCTCATTTATTTAACCTTCAACTGTTCTGAGTTAAGTCAAACACCAAAGACAACTAATTTGATAGAACACTGGAGGGAGGGAATAAATTAGACATAGAAAGTACCAGATTTTCCCACAAACCAAACACATCAACAAAGAGGGTTCTGAATTTCAAGAAACAACGCGGCCGATAACTTGGTACTTAGCTTCGAATTTCTTGACCCAATCGTCGAGGACGCCCATCTCCTTCTCGGAGAGGCCATCGAGATTGGCGCAGACGTCTTCTTCGTTCTTGCTCATCTTCGCGAGAGCTCTGCTGGCGTCTTTTCATGCGAAAATGGCGTATGCGCCGCCGGGACCGTAGAAGGATTTGCCGGAGGTCACATCGTAGATGTAGCCGTTGATTGCAACGTAGATGGGCTTAGATGGGTCGGAGCCGTTGAATTGGAGAAGTTGCTGGGGTGTAAGATCCATTGAAAGTTGTGCTGAAACCAGAGACACCGCTGGTTTTTGCCTTGGTTTGGTAATGAGTAAACTCAAGTTGGGTCATGCTGTGACACGTGTCTTACTTTTGGTGAAGCTAGATTAGATTCTTCAACGGTGATTAATCATGAACTTGGACCTAAGAAAATTCCTTTTAGAGAAATATTTAAGAGTAAAGTACACTACACTAGTCAATGAACTATTCTTATACCTTCATTTTCATCATCTAATTTTTAAAAATTATAAATTGCTCTTTTATTAAATTGTTATAAAATAATAAATAATTTTTCTGCTACAAACCTGTATGTTGCACTCGATCTATTTGGTCTTCACTCTAAACATTGATGGGTTCGTGTTGGGTTTTGAAGCTGGTGACAACCTTCGTCAAATTTAGCTAGTTACGAGCAGAGATTTTAATTACGAACATAATGGATATTATTACGATCATTACAAATATCACAATCATGCAATAATAATTTCGGATGATGCCGTTACCGATTTATCGCTATATAATGACCATTATTCCAATAACGGGCCACTATTTAAATCCCTTACGAGGAATTCCTCATTTCGGTTTTAGATGGGATTCATGAGGAGAGAAAAGCAAGGAGCGCAAAGGTATCTGCGCCTAAAGATCCAGTGGTATAAAAGAATGAACTGAGTTATAAAAGAATCATAACAAAAATCAGAATAAAATGCATCTTCCAATCAACTGTAAAAATATGAACTTAGTTAAAAAAATGTGCATTGAAGCTTACATCTGAAAGCACACGTATATCTTCACCTACGACAATGTTTCATTGAAGACAATAGAACTATAGAGCATATAATCCCCATTTTTACACACTAATCGATCTTGACAGACGAGTAGATAAGTCTGGTGAACCAAAAGCATGCATAAAATCCAATGGTGCCCGTAAGCACAAAAAACGCATATGAAGCGATCAGCATGTACCCAAAGTATAGGAGCCCCGAAACCAGCTTAGTGATCTCTAGCTTTGTGAAGAAGTAGAATGTAGCATAGAGGAAGAGGTACAAAGCCGAAGAGCCAGATGTGAGGTATGACCTCCACCACCACAGATAATCTTCACTGCATAACTGGAAGTAGCAAAGCACGATGGTTATTTCAGCACAAGTGATAAGGAGGATAATGAATACCAAGAAGAGGAAGCCGAAGATGTAGTAGAACTGGTTCAGCCAGATTGAGGTCAGAATGAAGAACAGCTCAATGAAAACAGCTCCGAATGGAAGTATTCCTCCGATGAGAATAGAGAATGTTGGGTTCATATACCAAGCCTGCTCGGGGATTTGCCTAGGGATTTTGTTTGTCTTCACGGGATCCTCGATTGCTGGCTTCTTGAACCCGACATAACCACCCACAAAAACAAGTGGAACTGAAATTCCAAACCATAGGAGGACTAGAGCAAACATTGTTCCAAATGGTACAGCCCCAGAAGACTTCTGGCCCCATATGAGAGCATTTAAGACAAAGAAGATGGCAAATAAAATGCCTGGGAACATGCATGCAGTCCTGAAAGTTATTTTCTTCCACTCTGCTCCTTTAAACATTTTGTACAGACGGGCCGAGGCATAGCCAGCAAAAATGCCCATGAAGACCCAAAGTAATAGCATAGCTGTCATAAGACCACCTCGGTTCGAAGGGGAAAGGAATCCAAAAACAGCAAAGATCATGGTAACGAGTACCATGCCCAAAAATTGAACACCAGTGCCAACATAGACACACAGTAGATCAGAATTAGTTGGAGGCCTGAAAACATCTCCATGGACAAGCTTCCATCCTGTCTCCTCCTGGGCTTCTTCCTGAGTCTCAAGTTCGTTATACCGAGAAATATCACGGTAAAGTGTCCTCAGCATGATCATTGCTACCATACCCGAAAGGAAGAGAACAATCATCAAAGAATTGACGATTGAGAACCAGTGTATTTGGTCATCATTCATTAAAAGATATGCATCCCATCTAGATGCCCACTTCACATCACTTTCCTGAAAGCCACAAAGGAAAATTTAAGAATATTAGCCCCTCATAGGTGACTGATGCCAGCCTTACTTCAAGGAAAGGAGATACAATGGAGATTTTTTCTCTCTCCAAGTAATACTTCATCAGCAAAATCTACTTAAAGGCAAAGGAATATAACCTTTACCGGTTCAGCTCATGGTTAACACAGAAAAAATTGAACATTGCAACTGTCAACACTAAAAACTAAAAACTATTCAAAGTTGAAGAGCTTACCTGGTATTCAACGTCATAGGTGAATATTATCTCATTGTTTGCTTCAACTTCTTGAGGAGTGTTAGAATTAACAACTGTACGCTTATTATGCGGATCGCATGTTGTTAAACGAGTTCTTTCATTCCATGTCCCCTCATATTCATGTCTAATACTGCATTGTTTTAGAACATAAAGAAAATGCATCAAAACTTGATACTAGAATCTCAGCCACAGAAACCTATAATTAAAAATATTAGAAT